TCAATTATTATACAATATATATGTATATAGATTATTGCTATTTTGAAATAAGTTCTTAAACTTAACTTTCTTAAAACACAGATCTGTAGCTAAAGAAGTAAAGCAAACAATCATCTCTTCTAGTTATGACCTTTGTACTCAATTGCTGCTTGATGTAGGTTGCTAAGCTATTAAAAAATTTGCACGTGGAGGATATGAAACAAAATAATTTTTTTTAGGTTTATATATATATTTGAATAACTAAAAAATCATAAACTACTACATTAATACCATAGAATTCTACTAAAATTTATCAAGCTTAGTAACTAAGATGTATTTTAATCTAAAAAAATATGAAATTTTGAGCAGACTGAAGACACACCCTACCTCATTGAAATATTGGTCCAAAAGAAAGAAATGGTGCCAAGCCCATTAAAATGGCTGAGTTTCCAATTGGTTATTCATGCCATATATATAGAAGTAAGTGTATATAAGGGAGTGTTTCCAAAAATGGAAAGAGGTGGGCAGGGTGCTACTGTGTTTGATTTATTACATGAGCAATATCTAAGCAAGTTGAAAAGATAAGACCTTCTTATTTTATATTCTAGCTTGTCAATATCGATACTTTCAGTTTCTAATTTGTACGAAACTATAGACTTTGTATTTTGACTTCACAAACATCTAATTTGAACCAGTGCTGCATTCAACATACCACGTGACACACAAAAATCAATATTTATCTGTGTTTTTTTAATATTTGCTTTTAAATTAAGAAACTGAGTAGTATATAGTACTAAAATTTGAATTATACAGTTTAATACCAAAGTTATTGACATAAATTCGTGAAATAGTAGTTCAATAAAATTTTGAATGTGAGTCAACAAACAAGATGACATGGCCTATCACCCGTGACCCGTCTCGAAAGGGTTAACTGAGTGGAATTGAGCACACTTGGGAGGAAGCCTCAATGGTCACCTACCCCAGCAGCTAGGAGTTGGTAAGTGATTAAGACTCCCATACTCCACTCGAAGATTGAGCAGGATCCATATATCTAAGAAAGTCCATTGTAAAAATGAATAGTATAAAAAAGCACCTACCCACTCATGAGAAACCATGGAGCTCAAAATGGTAACAGGAGGAAGACAATAATCTGTAGATCAGGAAACAGCCAAATGATGAAGTTAATGTGAAATAAAGGTATAGGGAGTGATCCACGTGTTGGCACAAACTATATCCTCTCAAGAACAATGGAATTGGGCAGCCAGGGGACATGGTAAGGTGACAGATTTGATGGGAGGAGACTTGAAAGAGCTGAAAATCATCAGGAGAAAGGGAAGTAGAAGCCAGGTGTATCCAACCCATAAGGGTAATAGAAAAAATGTCACGGGAAATGGAAATGTTCCAATGAATAAAGAAATGGGAATGGGAACCACAGAAAGGAGCAGTGCGAGCCACATAATAGCTGATGGCATGGACAGAACATAAAAGGCAATCTATATTGGAATGAGAATAAAGGTACAAAATATAAGGGAGGAAAACTGGAGTGGAAGTAAATTTGCCCTCACATGTGGTCGAAGTTTTGGGCAGGAAGGGCCGATCCGGGTAGAGGATAACATAAGACCTGTGATATAATGTGTGAGAGACATTGAGAGCAAACAAATCTGAACATTGACATCCACATACCAAGAAGAGGAGGAAAAAAAGTCCTTAAGGAAAGTTGATATATGGAACAAGACAGCATGGGCTCGAACGGAGGAACTGTGAGGGCATGGAAGACAACATTAAGGTTCCAATCAGGGAGGGCAGTAGGACAGGGGGGACAGCAAAGGCAGAAAGAAGGAAACAAAAGGGTGAAGACAAGAGAAGTAAAGAAATAGTAAAATCTTGTGAAACATAAGGTGGCTGACAATGACTTGTGATAACCAGCAATAGTGGATACCAATAGCCCCTTGTTGAATAGTCAGGTATGGAAGTAAGTTAGGTGCAGAAGAGTAGGACGGGACAGAGGAAAACCACAACAAGAAGGCTAATGGCAGCAGACATATCACTTACATTGATAAACTGACCTGACATGGAAAAAGGGTGCACAGAATGGGATATTAGGGAAGCAACCCATAGACAAAGTTTGGCCTGTGTGGCAAGGGACCTGACAAAAGCTACACATGAAGATGGAGTGTTGGAAGGGAAGAGTGTATTGCACCCAATTGAGGTTGTCTGAGGATGGTGGATAAGAGAGGAAGAGGAAGTGTCAGTAGGAGTGGGTGCAGAAGTTCTAAAAAAAAAAACAATAAGTAACTGGTTGAAATTCCTTGATGTAAAGCATGAACAAAAAAAAACATCTTAACACCACAAGCACCAATTGAGAAGTGAAGTTGAGCTAAGCTGCTTACAGGGGTCAGCTTGCTAGGAGTTCTGTCACACTCCTATTACTGGAGGGTTGTCACATGCTCATTTGCCTGCTATCATGCAGCTACCTCACATGAAGGTAGGTGGGAGCATCAAGGCTAGTGGTGAGTAAAAATCTGTGCATATAGAGAGCAGTAGAAGTTGAAAAAAGCTATTAAGTGAGAGGAGGTAAGATATGGCATTGTAATTTACACCAATTACAAAAAGGGTTCATTATCCATGTATAACATGTAATAATCCATCTCACACTTAATTAAAGTAAAACTCATTCATGTGTTTCAGTATGCCACATTCAATACAAAGTGCTGAAATGAATTAAATTCTAGCTATTGTAAAATATTTTACAATGAAATGTTACAATGTGTTTTACACGTATACTGTAATTAAATAAATAACAAGTATTGTATATATTTTGTACTAGTTGTATTTACAATAGTTTTGTTTTGTATCTCTATCTCTAATTTACTTCCTGATATACCTTAGAACACTGAATACTTTACAAACCGTTTAGACTTGGATCGTGATTTAATGGAATAATTTTACAGAAGATACACAAGGGGGTAATGTATTATTTTAGGCCTTTCACCTTACACACACACACATATATATATAAAGTGATCTGTGAACCACCTCAACTGAAGTTAGTTAATTTCTAAAATCAGTAACAGCATTGTTACAGAACTCTCACTTTGTAATGACCCACTGTGATTACCTCCTGTTTTTACAACAGTTTCTATTCAAATGAAGCACAAATGTAAATTTTGTATAAAATATGGGAATCATGCACAGCAGCATGTATAAATCCATCAGATGCTGAAACCAGTACAGCATTAAATAATTTTTTTAACTCTATTCTTTCTGAACCTGGTGTATAAAAGTGTAGTTTATATTGAACTTGTGAAAATGGTTACTATTAACGTCATAGAAAATATCTCTACTTGTATGAATTTCAGTTCATCATGTTGACAAACAAGCTAATACAAAATAATTAGACAAGAGAGTAAAAATATGTGATAAACAACTTGAAAGGTATATTATCTTTACATCCTGCTATTCACCATTTCTTTCATTTTACCTAATTATTTATACACACATATAGCTAAGTATGACACTTTTCAAATATAAACATGTAAAAGCCAAAGATAATCAGCCTTGCTGACCATCACATCCTGGTATCGTTTGCAATACTTAGTGTACAAAAGCCTTATTATTCCATGTCTATTAAAATGTGGCTTAGCTCATCTCTAATAGCACTGTATAAATAAATAGTAAAACATCATCAAAGGTACAGAGTTGCTGCTTTTATACAAGGCTTTACATTAGTTATTAAAATTAACTGTTGTGTAACCTTTATATACACATATATACAAGCTAGAGTAACTAAAATCAGATGATGAATAATGGAAAAAATTACTATTTGCATAACTTTATAAAATTTCATAAATTAGTGCCAATCCAAATTTTTTACATGTATTGCTCCATAACTCATCCCTCAACCATCCCAGAAGTACATACCTTGAATACTTCTAAATGTTTTACTAAAACTCTATGCCAAACCCATTCTGAAAGTAAATACAATAACTCACTAACTCTTTCTATATTCAAAATGAACACAAATGCAAAAAAGCTCAATTAACTATAACTTGTATAGTAGGTGAATTATCAATAAAACTTGTGAACTGTGTACTCCAACTATCCTGAGTGTGAAATGTTTTTGTATGTATGTATTTTCAAAACACATTATTTTACATGACTAGGTAATCTCCATAACCATGTATACCTACTTGAAGATATCATTAATATATTTATTTGAAGTCTCTTACATTAATCAATTTATTAAGAAAAACAGGAACTAATTGAAAAAAAGCTTGAAAACTGTAGATGTATTTTGTGTAATAATCCATGTTTTTATAACTATATAATACAAAAATAAATTTTTCATTTGCTTCCACCATTTTAACTACTTTTAACAAAATTAAGAAACATAAGTGTAATTCTTTAAATTTACATGTACATGAGTGGGAGCAGAGAAGTTAGCAAATACTGAAAAGTTCCAAGGATTAACAAACAAATCTTTCTCCTCAAACCCTGCCAACATACATACATGATGATCACTGACAGTAAACTGCACTCATAAGCAAATGCATTAAAAAAATATGACTCAAAACATGAAACAAAAGGAAAAAAGGACAGGTGAACAGAGTCCAAAAATTAGTCGTTTTTTTGTATTTTTTGTTACTTTTCCAAAACTAACAGCACTATAAGGAACTACCATACAAATGTACTTTACATATACAAGTGCACAATAAATAAATACCATAATGTACTGAGTCACAAATATCTTTAGAACACATCTACCTTCTGACCAACTGAAAGAAAATAATTAACAAGTGCAACCTATGTTAACAAAACACTTATGCACCCACTAATATTATACTCTTGTTCACCTCTCCTAATTGGATTGACCTTGAACTTTGACCTTCAAAAGTTAATCAGGTGTAGAACTCTGTATACAGTACCTGTCATATATGTTTGGTCAAAACCCATCCATCCAATCTTGAGATATCTTGTCCACAAGATCAGGAGGGACAGATAGATGAATTGAAAGGAGCAAATCAATATGCCCACTCTACTTTGCAAAGCATTGGGGCATAATAAATACTTTTGTTTTGATAGAACTTCAATTTTGATTATAATTAGAGCTGGGTGTTTAGTACAATTTGACAATCTATTAATCCTCAAACTCATTAACTCTCTGCATACAGGCTTGACTTATACATTTTGACTAATTTTATAACCTTAATGTAACCATGAAACTATACATACTGTAACTCTGAATGTAGTAAAAGGGGTAATGAGTACAAAAACATAAATGAGTTCAACAGAAAAACATGAACTAAGTTTCATGCTTTACTAAACAGTTGGTAAGGACTAACCAATGTGGTGCATGGAAAACTAAGTGACCATTTCAAAATAAGCTGTTTAAATATGTTTCAATTATCTCAATAATATTACTAATACATACTAGGATTTTTCTTTCAAACTGCTAGTTCAAAATTCAATAATAAAAAGTTAGCATTATTGCATTTGTATAATTGAAGTTAGAATAAATTCCAATATTTAATAAAAGTTACAAAAAAATTTAAAACTGCTCATAATAGAACTATCTCTGATAATACACACACACATTACTATCACTGAGTTATAATGTCCTACCTGTTCTTTGTTTGCCCTCTGTAAAATAGTTTCTACTGGTGTAATAGGATCTTTCAGAGTTTCTACTTTGACTGCATTTCGTAATGCAACTGCTGTATCAGATGCCCCTTTTGCAAACACAACACCAGGGCTATCTAGCAACTTGATGTGTTTGTCAAGCTGAATTTCCTGCATTCCTCTGTACAAAAATTACACATAACATTAAGAGAATCTAAAAGGTATGACCAATCTAAAATTCAGCCCCCAATAAAATCAATATTAAAGACTACCTATCAATATCCAGACGGCTTTAAAAACAACTAAAAAGAGAGAGAGAGAGAGAAAATAAATCAATAGTACTACTCACTATTTTGATATGCAACAGTATTTTCTGGAGTGACATTTTGGCAGTTCTACAGTGTGTTTCTTATACTTTACAGCTCCATCTTTCCCATTTGTTTAGGAGCACTTGCATTCACTTAATTAACCTTATCTAACCCAAAACCCAGATTTTACAGTTATTTTACTAATCTGCTATTTGTCTAGTAATTAACCATTACATAAAATATGGTTAGAATTACAAATAAAATATCAAAAATACTGATTTTCAATTATAATTACAAATATTTGTAATTGATCAATCTACTACAAAACCTAAAAAGTTGCATACACTAAAGTTAACTTACTCCTTTAGCACTCACTGAAGCTCACATTACTAATAAGCATCATGTCTTTCTATAATTATTCAATTTAAAAGCTTAGAAATTAATTTTACACTTTTGTTCCAATTTCCAAAAGGCAGACATAATTTAAAAAATTTGATTTGTCTTTAGTTACATTTTAACATTTCCTTCTGATCTGAAATTACTTGAAGCTGCAATCAGAATTACTTAATCTATTTGTATAGAGTTAAGCAACCATTCTGTGTTAGTTTCTCATTTTGGAGAAGTGTGCACATTTTTTACATTTTTTTAAAGGTATATTTTTGAGTAATATGTTAATTTTTAAACAGCTTCTGATTACAGTTGCAGAACTAATTGTTAATTGTTATTAACCAAACTTCTGTTAAAACAACCACTGCAATTTTTCCTGGCTAACTCATCTCACTGTTCTTCCAAAATTACTTCATTGCCCATAAAGCATTATAGTGCATAATAAAAAGTTAAATAAATTACTTTTTTGTAGTTTTATTTATATCATGGTCAACAAAAACTAAGAATTAACTTCTAGGATTTTGCTAACATCAGATATGGTAGAAGTTAAAATCATCCTATTTTTCTCAGTACAACATACTTGGTAACACCTGGGGTAGCTCCTACTGTACACACTTTACTTCTCTTGAGACTGTTGATTATGCTGCTCTTTCCAACATTTGGAAATCCTAAAATAGTCATAGGTGCTTATGTTCCATCCTTAACATGTGAAAAATTCATATATATATAGCAAAATAAATAATTATACAAAATTCAACAAGTTTGTATACATATATTTAAAGCAGACTATGCAACATTATCTGCAAATTTGGATAATATCAGAAATTACATAAAAAATTTTCAGTTAGGGTATGTCGTATAATTTATACTGTGAAAACTACTTGATAAAGGATTTCATAGGTATACTAACCTACAACACCAACTGTTATGGATGTTTTTATTCCTTGATTCCGACAGTAGTTACCCAGAACTTTCATGAGTATGTTTGCACCAAGACAGCGACTAGAATTGATTAAGGTGGTGCTACTATGCAATACTGCTACCTTACTATGGGCCTGTAAAACACATACTGCATTTAATTCATACAAATGAATACCTAGCATAAAATATTGTGTGCAAAAAATATTTTGGTGTCTTTGTAAAGGAACTCAGAATAAATTAAATATTATAGAAAAAAAATTTATTCAAGATAATGTATTTCTTCATAAATGGTTGACAAAACATAGTAAGTAATATAATGTACAAAGTTTAAAGGCAATGAAGAAAAATGTGATATACATTTCACTAACAAGTTTTTTTATGTTGAGAAAGCATTTACATATCTGATTTTCACATCATGTATATTGAAATTAGTTTGTTTTAGCAAAACCCTATACTCACCAAATTATGTTGCTGAGTTTGAGTTGAGGCTTTAAAAGCAACAGTTGGAAATTCATTGCGTAAATAATGCAGCCATTTCATAAGATTGTCTTTCGGAATCAAATCTGCAAGTTCAGAGTTTCTAGATTAATGCTGTAAGCGACTCACCTCCACAAAAAGTATTGTAAATGAACAGAAAATATGATACGATACATTTTGACATAATGTTTTAAATACTCACTTATATTTCATCTTTCAGTGGATATCAGGGATATGTATATATATATATAAAAACTGATGTTAAAAAAAATCCAAGGTCAATGGAAGAGCAATTCATAATGGTCATGATATACAAACAGCACTAATTATATAGCATAACTGACCATCCATGGCCATGCCTAGGTTTTATAGCTTATACAAAACGGCTATCTGATGTGAATTTAATTTTCTCACTCCAGACTTCATTATCTCTCTGTCCGGTTTCCAAGATTTAAAAAGCTACAAAAGCTTGTGCTTTCATCAAAAGCCTCTGCTCATAATCAGAAGCAACTGACACTGCTGTATTATTCAAAAAATAACTAAAGTTGGCACTAAAACAGAAAATTTCAAATCTGAAGAAAATATGTCTTTCCAAGATAGGCTGCACAGGCAAGTATGCTAAAATAGCTATGCATTCTGAAAAAAAAGCACATAAAAAAAGCAGATAACTTAATGCCAAATTAATTTTTTATATTGCATTGAGATATTTTCTAGAAATTTTTAATTTTTCAGTAGAGCAGATAGTTACAGTTGATAGCCCAACTAATTAAAGGAATGTTCAACCTATTTTTGAATATCTTGTCTTAGTGATTTGTAAGTAATCATGTAAAACTGTAAGACAGAAATATCTGTACTGATAATAAATCATCAAGTGATAACCATTCATTTATCTAACATTTGTGGCACCATTATAGAAGTATTTCACATTGATTCCAGAATATAATGGCCTGGGTTTTATCAATAAGATTTTAACTTTGAACATTAACTCAATAAAACCTAAGAAACGTAGGAAGAATTCTAAGGATTTCAGTGTAACAACATAGAAACTTATCCTGCATTACAAAAAGTTCTACAACTTTTCAATTTACACTATAATTCTCACTTACGAGGCATGTCTGTTTAAATTTAAACATGATGGTTTAAAATGATTCTTAGATGTGTATAAACAGTCAGTGAAATGTTTTCTTGTATCGTTTAACATAATGTTATGCAAAAGTGGTTTTTAAGTTGAAGAGTGTTTCTGGACCCACAGTTCAGAAAGTAATCTTAGACTGTAATATGAAACTAATGGTCGGTACAGAATTACAAGACATCAACTTTTTTGTTTTGTTTCTTAGCTTACTCGCCAATAATACAAACCACAAAGTCAAGCAAGAGAAATTTTGGCTAATTCCTCTGAGCCTAGCTTTCAAAAAGATTACACCTTTATTTCAAATGACTATCAAAAATAATTTGCCTGGAGAAGCCTAAATTAATTATTCATGCCATTAACAGCCAAGCTTACTTAGTCTTCTCTTGGTAAAAGTTAAAATAATTTTTATCTTTACATCAAGTGGACAGATAGGGTTAGCCTTCTAACACTTCCATTTAAAACTTGAATGTTTGAAGTTTGTTCTTAAAGTAGATAAAAAGTTTGTTCCAATTGAAGTGTTTTATGTCCCATGACAAATTCTATAAACCAGTGTGATTATTTAGAGGTGACTTATTTTTCATTGTTTTTATTTCAGACTTTTCCAAAAACTTTGAGTAGTTAAAACACAACACAAAGAAACAAATACTGTCCACTAGATGATAATCATTTAAAATACAATGTAATGCACAGTGCAAACATCAGTTTTTGATTTACTAACTACTTAGTCTTGAGCAAGGTTTGCAATAGTACCAGTGATATGAAGTTCCGGTAACGACCAGGAACTGCCAGTACTCAAGCATCTCTAATCATGTGACTTGAGCAGTTAGAAACTCAATTATTATTTTCATTGTGTTCTTGTGGGAAAATTTTTTTTTCACCTCAAACTAATTTGTCAATTATTTGTAAGCCCATGTGGTATGATAACTATGGCAATCAATCAGTTGAAATCTAGGCTTTCTATAGGTTATAAATTTAATGGGAGTTGACCTCAGAAAAATCTATTAGCAAATTGTAAATTGGAGCATGTCAGAGTTAGGTGTGAAAAGAGGTTTCTGAATTTTCATTGATTGCTCTTTAACCCCATAAGATTGAAGAATATAAAAATATAGCTCCTGAATATCAATGACAAAATTATAGAGAATATTTTACATTACATTTTGTAGTTTTTTAGGGGGTAAACAAAAAAATCCAGAAAAGGAGATGGCTCAAAAACAAATATCCAAATTCTCACACTAGGGGAATTTGAGGTTGTTTTTAAATATTTCCATATATAATTAAGAAATAAAAACTTATATTATAATATTAATATTTGATTTATTATCTATGGTTTGATGTCAAGTTTGTTCGTATAGCATGATAATTAAATATTTTAATTCAATTTTGAATGTAACTCATTAAAATGTCGTCACATGAACAGTTTGATCTGCCCACATGCTAAGGGTTAATCAAGCACATATCTCCTTCATGTGCAATCAGTCATGTAGACACATTCACATTCTCTTCCAGAGCGTGTGAGCCACCAGTTTCCCATATTTCATGCTATTGCCAGTTTTCACAGTGAGATTCGCTTAGTGACTGCAGTATGAACTCAAAACTACCAATCAAACATTTATAATTCCATGAAAAGCAAAGCTGAAATACAAGAGGTGTTTGGTCAAAACTCCAAAGATGGGACATGTGATAACAGATATTATTCTCAACATATGATATACTATACTGACAGAAAAAAGAAACTGTGCAGGACTTAAAATGGAATAAAATTCATATACATTAGATTTAGTGTTATGACATATAAAAAAATCAGTACAGGATATGTCATTGAAGATATTGGGTACTACTTGACTTGGTTGCATGAGATTTTTCACGGTTTGTGAACACCTTTTTGTTTATTCAAGTTTCGCACCCACGATTTTTCTTTGACAATGTTTTCTGAATAAAGATGTAAAACGTTTATTCAGGCTCCAGTCATTCAGGAAATCATTTTTGTTTCACCTAGAATTACCCTTCTGTGATGCCAAGGCTCAGTGAAGATGAACGTCTTTGCGCAGTCAGAATGCTGCAGGCTGGTGTGGCACAGAACATTGTTGCAAGACGTTTCAGAGTCCATCAGAACATCATACACTTTTTATGGCGACGGTTTCAACAAGCAGGAAATGTCCGAGATCAATGAAATGGAAAGGTGTTTATGTCGTCTACCAAATCAGCCAGTAACGTTGGCAGATCTGGGCAGAGCATTAACCAACATCTGGAATAACATTCCACAGGCCTTTTTGAACAATTTAATGTCATCAATGAGGCGCCATTGTCAAGCATGTGTGGATGCAAATGGTGGACACACGCGATATTAGCTCTGAATATCAGCGTCTTTCAAATACACTAAAAATTATGCTTGGTGACATTAACATTAATTAACTACAAAATTTTGTAACCAATGCATTTGTTAACAATACTGCAAAATTAAAATTATATTTGTTCGATTTTTCTTGATGTTTTTTCATATTTTAAGTGATGCACAGTTTCTTTTTTCCGTTAGTATATAAACCAGTGTCAGTACTGGTACTGTATGCTGAGTACTGCTAGTGCCATTACTAGTGCCAACTGCAAACCCTGGTCTTGAGCCTGTGTCATCCATCAGTAATATTTGCAGGAATACCATAAAAATTACAGGAATCATCTTCACACCTTCAATAACATACTTTTACAAAATTAGAAAAGTCTACAGAAATATGAAAGAGTTTATTACACATTATATTTACTTGCATGAAGGGGGTAACTCTTTCAAAATATGGAATATTTTCATAACCAGTTGATATCAATATATTCCCAATTTGTAATAAAATGTACCTAGACAATATGTAGAAACAACCTGAAACTTCAGAATGATTTGAACATAAAGAAATATTTACTTGCACATGCTACTCAATTTTAACATTAGGTGATCTCGCACAAAACACCAACAATCTGTTTTCAAGCAATACATAGGTATAAAACCCAATTTTTCTAACAAGCTTCCATGTCTTCTCATGTTTAAAAAGCATGAATCTTCACACACAAAAAACTCCTTATCACTAAAGAGCTTTAAAATTCTCTACTGGAAAACCATAATAGATTTGATTTTACATAACAACAAACAGACCATGTTTTGGTAACCTTTTGTTTTATATAATACTGAAATATCAGAACAGTAAAAACAAGGTAAGACTTTCAACCAATATCCTGATACTTTTATTTACGAATCTAAATTTAGATATATCATTTTATAATAAAAAATCTTTAACAATGAAATATCTGTTTGTGGCAACAGTTAATTCAGATCTTTTTAAAAATATTACGCTATAAACTTCTTTATATAATTAATTTCCTTATGGGTAATTTTTTTTTTTAAATTAACACGTTAAAAGCTCCCAAATATTAAATAAAATTATGTAATTTTCTTATAAACAAAATACTAAATGTTAGTTTTCAAGGATGTAACTTTCTTATAGAAATTAAAGTTCCCTATATGCAATTCAGTAGCTCTCATTGAGATAATATTTATAAAAATATTTGTGTAAGTAATGTTTCATTACTGAATTTAACATACCTATTTTGTTGAGAACAAGGACGAGACGTTTGTTAGGTCCAGAATTGATTACAGCCTGCTCAACTTGAGGACAGCGACAACCAAGTGGATCTCTCGCATCTAATATCTCCAAAACAACATCTGCTCGTTCCACAACCTGAGACAGCATTTAAGAAAATATTTTTTAGAATTTATTTATATTTATAATTATTCAGACAAATTAAGTGAGTGAAAAATTAAATGTAGGACTTCATATTATTTTATCATTCAGTCAATCATGTCTTTCCTGTATTTTATTTTTTAGGAGAAAAAAAAAATTTAAATGTTCATGATTAACATAGAACAATATAATATAATTTTTTTTAATTTACAGAAAAAAAAAAAAAGCAGAATCAGCTCAATGGCACTAACAACCTTAAATCCCACATGTAGGATACTTCTGAAACCCATAAGATTTTTTTTAATATACTAAAAAACTAAAAATATTTTTATGATAATTGCATTTCTTTGTTTTGTTGAATTTAGTGCAAAGCTACTTGAGGCCTATCTACTCAAACAAATCCCTAATTCTGAAGGAAAGTCAGTTAGTTAACACCACCAACTCAAGGGGTACTCTTTACAAATGAGTATTGGGATTGACCATCGCATTATAACATTCCCACAGCTGAAAGGTTTTCATTGATGATTTTTCAAGTGACATTGAAGATTTAAAAACATAAACTAATAACTTTTTTGGTAAGTATAATGTTTTCATCATAAATTAATATCAGAAACTTGTATCCTATAATGAACAATCATTTGTGATCAGCATAATAATAGCACAAACAGCTAACATGTACATTGAACATATATTTCTATACATTTCATTTTCATTCATTCTAACCAATAAAAAATAATCCTAAAGCAGCCCATAGAAACTTGTTTCATTTGTATTAAAAAACTCTGGCTAAATAATACAACAAGAAACTAACAATGAAATCTTTTATGAAAAATACAGTTTACTATCAAGAACAGCAATTGCACAAATACAAAACTGAATGAAAGAGGTTCACAATTATTTAAAAGTTTAAATGTTGTAATCTAATCAAACTTGTCACAAAATGATAAAACCCTATAACCCAAGTGCTTTTGAAAGGTGGACCTTTTTTCTTCAGGGGCATACTGGGAATGGTGGTGTAAATGAATGAGTGATATATAAACTTGTAATATCCATCCCAGTTTCACAAGAATGATCAGATCCCAAATACAACACTGTTCATTATAGAAACAACTTCACACACTTTTATAACAATTTAGTATTAAAAGCTGATTAATAAGACAAATACTTATAAAATAAAACACAATGATTAAAGATAACTGTCTGTAAAATATTTATTGATCATTAACTATTCTTTTCTTGACAAGATATGATGGAAACTTCTATTTATGTATATGTTTTACTAATTACTGCAGCTTTTCTTGGCTAATAATAGCAGATAAAATAACACATTATCAATATAGTTATTACCATTTTAAACTCCTTATGATACACTCTCAAGGAAGAATCTGCTTGGATGTCATGGTAACCAGCTGCATCTGTTGCCTCCTGTAACAGTTTATCAACATACTTTCATTTGAAAATATACAATTAATTTTCACAATAGAAATTATACCAAACAAATTATTCAATACCAGGTTATAATTTTTCAATCTGGAATAATAGTATAGTACATTTAGTGTTTAATTAATTATTTTACTTCAATCTTTCAACTCTATTAAAGTAAGGCCATTATTTTTTTTAAAGGACAACAAGTGATTTCTCAGTTTTTATGCTTTCATATATATTCAGGTTAGGAAAATATATTCTCATTGAAAGAAAATGCTTATGTTAGTTATTACACAATAATTACTACAAAAATACAAACATAGTCATAATTAATAACTTAAAATTACAGCACAGTGGGTGTTGCAATTCTATTTACTCCTTTCTATAAGATTACATGTAACAGAAAATAATTGAAAATGCTATGAGTAAAAAACATTCCTCAAATGTCTTATTTCTAGCAAACTGTTCAATACAATTTGAAACAAACTGAATGTCTACATTTACATAACAAAAACATCCCAAAACAGGTAAACACAACTTTAACTTGGAAATAAACTACTGGCCTCACAAGCACTTAACATAAAAGTATTCAAAAATACATATATAAGCATTAGTAATAAGCATTACATTAGTAACTTAATAAAAATAATTTTCCACTAGGTACATGCATGTTGAGTATCATGCAAGGTGGCATAGAAAATGTTAGTCCTAACATACTATTTTTGTTTGTACAGAGCAATATCCTTAAACAATGGAAAATTTGAATCATACCTTTGTATCAAATTGTAGACCTCTTTTCTCAGCATCTTGTTGAAGTTCTGCAAGTCCCCGCTTTTCCATCAGTAACTTATTTCGTTCTTCTTGCCGTCTCTTTTTTATTTCTTCTGCTTGTCTTTTCCTCTCTTCAGCCTCTCGTAGAATTTCCTCTTTGAAAGGTAGACTATTTGGAACACCAGGGTCTTTCTTTTTAACTGTTTTGATAATTAGATATCCATTCTCATTAATATACATTCACTATTATTAATCAGCCAGTAATAATGTGAATGTCACCTTAAAAAATAAAGTCTATGTTTGAACAAAAATCCTAAGCCTAACCTTCAGTCCAACTACACTAGTCCACCAAGATTCATTTTTTTAGAATCAAACTTTTTTTTATACTTCTTGAGAACATTATTTTGTTAAATGCTTATACATCACTCTGATAATACTAAATTGTACTTGTTAGTTTATCATTATCTATTGTCATGAGATTAATAACATAATATGGCTAAATTAATAAAGGCAATAATTTTAAAGGACCTTTTATTTCATGTAAAAGTATTCTTGAAACTTACATTTTACAAGCATGGTCATTAACCATCTCATACAATGTTATTCCTTGTTATATTTTCATTTGATCAGACCATACTGATACATCATCACTAACCTTCTGTAACTTATAGCCTAATCAAGTGGTAAGAATATTTATGTAATAAATTCAACAATGCAAATATTCTTGTAAACTGAATAGATATTTCATAACCAGTAAAATTATGTAAAGCTTATAGTCAGCTATTGCTTAGAATCTGCCAAGGTACTGAGAAAGAGAAATTATTTCAATTAACATTACCATCAGTGTTAATTCCTGTCCATTTTTTTTTCAATTCTCTATGTTGAATATATTTAGTTTATGATTTTAACACCCAATAAAAAGCAGAACTTTCTGTTGCTTTTGTTGTTGAAATTAGGATTTTTTTTCTACAAATGTGTGTAGAATAATTGAATTATTTTGCTTTTAATAAATTAGCAAACTCTGTTTTGCAAAATAATCTGCAACTCAATTTTAAACCCAAAATAATCCAGTAAAAGCCTGATGTATAACATTATTACATGTGTACTATAAACATACAGTTTTATACCAGTATTTATGCCTGTACAACAGTTAATGCTTTGAGAAAAATTTACACTTGTTCCAAGATTGAGAGCTACTTTGTGTGCAAATTAAAAACTTCAAACAATATTTTAAGTTAACTTTAACATCTCTAGACCTGGACTGTGTAATATTTCATAAAAGCTGTCAATTGCAACAATCAGTGTAAAAACCAATGAACATTAGCAAAACATTCTTATTCTTAAATGACTTTCAAAATCTAAAAATATTATTATTATTATGGCCCATAGATAATAACCTTCAGTGATAGAAATTTTGATAAGGTGTATTAATATTTCTTATTCACATCTGATAAAGTAGATAAGTAAGATAAGAGTAAGATGATCCGTAACAAAAGTTTTAAAAATATTGTAACTAGTAATATGTCTGAATGTGCTTTTAGATTTTGAAAATATTAAGTTATATTAAGGTATTATTATGGTTAACAGGTAATAAACCTTTGTGTGAATATTTTGATAAAGTGTAGTATTATTTCTTATTCAAATCTTGTGAACAATAATATACAAGAAAATCAGAAGTTCCATTATAAAATCTTTTAAAAATGGTTACTCATACTATGTCTGAATGTGTTTCTGCTGAATTCCAAGGCTTTTCCTAATTCTTCAAAAAAATCAGCATTTTTATCAAACATATTCAATAATAATTATCCTTCAAAAAATTTTAAATGAAAGAAAACTAAATTTATAAAACAAGTTCAAAACATAATTGTTTGAAATACTAAAACTGTAAAACTAGCACTATTTAGTGTGAGAGGAGGCAAGTATGTTTTGAAACTATTTTACTCTAATTTCCATTTGTGCCTGTAGAAAAAAGAAAAACATAAGGAGAAACACTGAGTAATAAATCTAAATTATGTTGGAATAAGTGATTGTGATGTATTTACAATAAAAATTATGCACAATAAACAAATTACAGTTGGTGTTAAAAAAAAAGCTTAAGAACAAAAAACTGTTAAATATTTGCAGTTGATAAAAAATTTCAGTTTTGTTTTTTGTGACACTAAAAGAAACACATTTAATTTCTTTTGGCCAATTGATATCCATAAAAATGCTTATACATATAGCATAAGTTATGTTTTTCTAAGTGTGGAAATAAGTCTATAAATGATATTGTTTAATATCAGAATAATATAAAACTTAACATATATTGTACTAGTTTATGGAAATAAGTGTACTAATTCACAAGGCCAGAGATGAAAGTGTCCCTTTCCTAAAAATCCTGAAAATAATCAAAGCCAAGTAAGGGGGGGGGGGTCTGGCACCCAAAATCATGCATTTTGATGCATTTTAGTACTTAAAATTCACTTAAACAAGTTACCCCATTTTT